CTGCCTCCTGCCGGCCTTCTCGCCGGTCAGGTCGTCGAGGGGGTCGGCGGCGGCGCCGGGCATCCACCCGTGGCTCATCTTCAAGGAGTACTACGACACGAAGAACGGGCGCGCTTACATGGAGTCTCCCGCGCGCAAGCTGTCTGAGTCCTTCGGCTTGCGAATAGACGGCGAGACCGGCGGAAGGGCACGTGGAGCGTCGGCCAAGCACGGCCTACTCGTGGCAGTCCACGAGGTGCTCAGCGACCACGACCGGTTCAAGCGCAGCGCCGACTCCGAGTTCAAGGCGCTGGTGTGCCGCGGCCTCAACGAGCAGCGTCTGGTGTCGTGGCTGAACCTGGTGTGCAAGGCCGGCACGCTCGTGGAGGGGCACTACCAGGCGTGGAGCTACATGGCGCGCACCGGCTTCGAGGGAGCCCTCACCATCCTGGGCCGCCTCAGCGACCTTCAGTTCGACCTCCCCGCCGACCTGTCCGTGCGCCAGCTCAAGAACATCAACGACGCCTTCTGAAGCGCTCGCAGCAAGCGGGTCCCCTGGCAGGGACGAGGAATGCCGTCCAGGGATCGGAGGAGGTGGTGTCTCCTACTTAGTCGACTGCACTGTCGCCCGAATTATGAGCGGCTTATTTATATGAACGCACAGGATTTAGCGGTGGTGCTGTATAGCTTGCTCCCGTGTGATTTCAGGTTTTACCGAGTGTCCTTCGGCACGACGTGGGAACTGAAGAAGAGGACTTCAAGAAGCTCCGGAACTGAACAATCTCACAGAACGTGGAGTAAAACTCTGGACATGCCAAACAACAACACACGGCACAACTGTAAAACACATGGCACGGTGGTTTATTTTGTTCGGATTGTTTTACCAATTAAAGGCGTGGTATCTGATAATATTGTTCCTCTGATTTCATATGGTGTATGGGTAATGGGTTGTATGTGTCAGAGGATATTCCATATACTGTATATATTTATTTATGAAGATGTCTAAAATACTACCTTATCGTAGCGTGTGGTACTTTTATGCTGTGGGGCCGTCCATAAATGACGTCACGCACCTGGGGGGGGGGGGGTCAGACATTTGTGACGATGTGTGATGAGGAGAGGGGGGGGGGGGTGAGAAATGTGACGTCACATCAAAATGCGCAACTTTAAATAAATATCGACAACACGTTCTACTTAATTAAAGAGACTTTTTAATAAATGTTTTCTCCTACAACATCAGAGTGCAGCGCCACATTAAATACGCACTACAATGACAATAGTTTAAAGCGATTTGAAGCATGTTTTATAAAAAAAATGGAAATATGTTTTTGGGGGGGGGGCAGAAATTTGTGACGTCATATTTGAGGGGGGGGGAGGGTCTGACTTTTTGTGACGCCGTGTGACCAGGGGGGGGGGGGGGGTAAAAAATCGTCCAAATCGCGTGACGTCATTTATGGACGGCCCCTGTTCCCCGGCTTCAACCCGCAATGACCCACATGGTAAATTAACCCCACGACCTTATGGCGTGGAGAGGCGGTGGAATGACAAAGGGCTGCACATGTACCTTCTCGTAGGCCTTAGTACAATCGATGGCCAGTCTCAATCCACTGTTGGATGGGACCGTTCGCTGGCTGACTTTCATAATCCACAGCCCCATAAAACTCAAGATCTCACTTAAATTTCTATTTAAAGCTTTCGTGACTGCAGGGATTCATATTCTTGGTTCTTTCGGTAAAGTCACGTAGAAGGGAAATAATAAAATAATAAAAATAAAACAATAAAATTCTCACGACGTTTCGGCCACAACGAGGACGGCTGTTTGCCTTGTGGCCGAAACGTGAGAATTTTAGTATGTTTATTTATTATTTATTTCCCTTCTACGTGACTTTACCAAAAGAACCAAGAAGATCATCTCACTTGCTCCATGTCCTGGTGCTTGTCCCTTCCAAGTGTGCTGCCATCCCATTCAGCCTTCATCATTCACTGCCATTCCTTCTCGTGACGCACATGCCCTCGTTTGCCAGCACTGCTTGCAATGTCCCTGACTGTATGAGCAAGCATTTGGACAAGAACGTAAAATAATAAGAAATAAATAACACTGTCCAAACTTGAGTTATTTTGCCCCACCACAATCCACCTATCCATGGTCACCAGTAATCTCCCTTCGCACTGCACAAGCCTGATGATTGGTAAACGTATACCAACATTTGAATCGGTGCTCTCTGCCTCCCATAGGACACGTATACACACACACCATCTCTGTTGTGATTGTAATACGGTCAATGTTATAATTATGATAATGGAGCAATGTGAGAAACGACATGGTAATTTTTTTTTATTGGATGGTAACATGTACTGGATGAAACAACTGCTCGCCTGAACAATTCTGGGTACCTGTGTCTTAAACCTATTTCAGACGGAGCGACCATGACCACACCAAATCTAATTTCTCGTCGCTACTGTTCGTGCCCAGGGTTCTTCGACTTTATTTTCCAGCAAGGCCACAATATTAGCATGTGTCGGCCTGTGCTCCGTTGCATCATGTCACGCGTGCAGACATTTCGACATCGCGTGGGATTGTGATGTCCTATCGTCCCGTACACGTGAATGCCAATCGGTACCGTTTGTCTCTCGTTCTCTCGTCGCTAGTTTACCTCGCTGTCATCTCACTGATCTTCTTGACCTCTTCTTTCCAGCTCTCGCGTTTCGTGTGATTGTCTCTCGCGCGCTCGTCTGTATCTCTGTGCGTCTCTGCGAGCCATATCTCTTGGCTGGCCACTCCAATGAAGAGCCTTGAAATATGGCCCCGGGACAACAGTTGGAGATCCTTGTTCTGAAGTGACGCAGATCCTGTTGGAGCCGAGTACACGCGGCTCAAGTCTTCTGTGTTAGACCCAGAAGTTCAGTCTATAGCACCGCCAATGAGCACTATGCACACAGCGCATTATGTACTTATGGCGTGGCGCCAACACAACAGTGAATGCAAAAGAACAAGCGTTAATTGCACGCATTTTGAATGTCCAAAGCACGCGCACGCGCGCACACACGCACGTCATTTTAAAAAATGCACAGTTAAAGCAGAGTTCATATTCTTGGTTCTTTCGGTAAAGTCACGTATAAGGGAAATGATAAAATAATAAAAAATCTAACAATTAAATTCTCACGACGTTTCGATTGCAAACTCTTAGGTTTTTTCGGTAAAGTCACGTAGGTACGAAATAAAATAAATAATATAAATAAATATTTAGTTATTTTTATTTTTATTTCTATTATTTATTACTTATTTTATTTTTTACCTACGTGACTTTACCGAAAAAACCTAAGAGTATGAATCCTTGCAGTCACGAAAGCTTCAAATCTAGAATTAGTTTCAATTGCAACACAAGCAATCATCATCAGGTGTGAAAACCACAGCAAGAAATGTTTTTGCTGTAATTATTTCCCTTCTACGTGATGACTTTCCCGAAAGAACCAAGAACATGAATCCCTGCAGTCACGAAAGCTTTAAATCGAAATTTAAAGCAGAGTTGTTATTTTCTAAGTTACACGCGTGAATCGATGTGAATGGTGGAGGCAACATTACTTGGTGTAAAATTCACCACAGTCCAGTAATATATATTTTGTTATTGTAGATAGCTCGTTTAGGGTTTTGAACATTTGGTTTCTGTGTGAGACACGTGACGCTGGTGATAATAAAGCCACGACCTAGCTAAGTGGACTCTGGGAGTCGGTGCCATTTGATGAAAGTGATGGGTGGCTGTGTTGCAAAGCAGAATGATCAGAAACACAGTTTCGCCAGGTCAAGTTCAAGTTCATTTCAAGTTCATGTATTAGGTATAGCCCTGTGAGCCATTCAGCTCTTGAATCGGGTGCAACCGCAACAAACAAAAAACTAAAACATGAACAAAAAACATCTTAAAGTGAATATGTGACTAAGTGCAAACAGAAAATCCAAGAAAAGACAGCAAAATATTGCAAGAAAAAAATCACAGTTACACCAACGCTGTGTGCAAAAATCCCAGTGGGATGCAAGTCAAACAACAACAACAACCACAAGACAACTTAGATTAAGGCCATCAGTCTAACTCTGTACTACAACAAACAAACATGGCTAAACCAATACACTTTTCGAAATCACCAAAATAAAGCCATGAAAGCAATGAAAAAGCAATCGTAGGAACTGTGACGGAATTTTCACAATAAATGGCATAAACAACATGTACTACCAGGTCGAAAATGTTCATGCCCAGGACCCGATTGGTGCAGTCAAGTTGCTTGCAGTTATGGATGAAATTAAATTTACCAAAGCCTTTGAAGCAATCGGCCTTTATGTTGCCGTGTTCTCTCACTCTTGTTTCTTCGAGAGTGAACGAATACTGAGCGGCAGCGCGGTACAATTGTGACGCTATACGGTACATTATACTGGTAGGAATGAAGTGAACCAGCCTACAATAGATTATATCGTCCGTCCGTGTAGCAACATCGCCCCCTACTGCAAACACTTGGCAGGACCCTACAAAAACCTTGACACTCAGTGAGGCTTTCCTGGCTAAACAAGTGTAATAATAAATTATGTTTATATTCTTTGGTTATTCGTTCCTACCAGCCCACCCCGCAGGGACCTGTTAAATGGGGTTTACACCACAGAATCATGATCTTGATTTGGACTGGAGGAATCTGATGAGTCAGGTTCTGGGGGCTCCATCGCTACGATTCATGTCTCGGGGCCCGGGGGGGGGGGGGGGGGTCGTGGCAATTCAGGTTCCGGGGGCTCCATCGTTGCTATTCATGTCTCGGGGTCCGGGGGGGAGGGGGTCGTGGCAATTCAGGTTCCGGGGGTTCCATCGTTGCTATTTATGTCTCGGGGCCCGGGGGGGGGGTCATAGCAATTCAGGTTCCAGGGGCTCCATCGTTTCTATTCATGTCTCGGGGCCCGGAGGGGGGGGGGTATAGCATTTCAGGTTCCGGGGGTTCTATCGCCACCATTCATGTCTCGGGGCCCGGATCGCAATTCAGGTTCCGGGGCTACCATCGCTACGATTCATGTCTCGGGGCAGCAGTCGCCTGGCTTCCAGCTGAGGTAGCGAGCGGGAGGTTGTCACCACCTCGGGTTCTCTCTCCTCTCTCTCTCCTCTCGCCTCCCTCTCTGCCCGCCGTCATGGCGAGCGCGCTGGTCAGGGTCCCCCACGCCTCGCTGGGCCGGTGGTGCCGTGCGGGAGGCGCGGCACTGCCCGCGCGGAGACGGAGCGGAGCCGCCTCGGATCCCGGCTACGAGTTCCTGCATCGCAGCGTAGTGCCCACCCTGCACTTCCAGCCCAGCCTGCCCCGGTGAGGGCACTGTACACTACACTGTACACTACACTATACACTACACACTACACTATACACTACACTATACACTACACACTACACTATACACACTACACTATACACTACACTATACACTACACTATACACTACACTATACACTACACTATACACTACATTATACACTACACTATACACTACACTATTTACTACACTATACACTACACTATTTACTACACTATACACTACACTATACACTACACTATACACTACACTATACACTACACTATACACTACACTATACACTACACCATACTGTACACCCTGCACTTCCAGCCCAGCCTGCCCCGGTGAGGGCACTGTACATTATATTATATACTACATTATACACTACATTATACTACACTATACACTACACTATACACACTACACTACTCATTATACACCCTGCACTTCCAGCCCAGCCTGCCCCGGTGAGGGCACCCAGACACTACATTATATACTACACTATACACTACACTATACACTACATTATACACTACACTATACACTACACTATACACTACACTATACACTACACTATACACTACACTATACACTACACTATACACGACACTACACACTACACTATACACTACATTATACACTACATTATACACTACACTATACACTACACTATACACTACACTATACTACACTATACACTACACTATACACTACATTATACACTACACTATACACTACACTATACACTACACTATACACTACACTATACTACACTATACACTACACTATACACTACACTATACATTACACTATACACTACACTATACACTACATTATACACTACACTATACACTACATTATACACTACACTATACACTACACTACACACTACACTATACACTACATTATACACTACATTATACACTACACTATACACTACACTATACACTACACTATACTACACTATACACTACACTATACACTACACTATACTACACTATACACTACACTGTACACTACACTATACACTACACTATACACTACACTGTACACTACACTGTACACTACACTATACACTACACTGTACACTACACTGTACACTACACTATACACTATACACACTACACTACTCACTATACTGTACACCCTGCACTTCCAGCCCAGCCTGCCCCGGTGAGGGCACGCAGACACTACATTATACACTACACTATACACTACACTATACACTACACTATACACTACACTATACACTACACTATACACTACACTATACACACCACACTACTCACTATACACCCTGCACTTCCAGCCCAGCCTGCCCCGGTGAGGGCACTGTACACTACACTATACTACACTATACACTACACTATACACTACACTATTTACTACACTATACACTACATTATACACTACACTATACACTACACTATACACACCACACTACTCACTATACACCCTGCACTTCCAGCCCAGCCTGCCCCGGTGAGGGCACTGTACACTACACTATACTACACTATACACTACACTATACACTACACCGTACACTACACTATGCACTACATTATACACTACATTATACACTACACTATACACTACACTATACACTACATTATACACTACACTATACACTACACTATACACTACACTATGCACTACATTATACTACACTATACACTACACTATACACACTACACTATACACACTACACTATACACTACATTATACTACACTATACACTACACTATACACTACACTATACACACTACACTGTACACACTACACAACTCACTATACACTACACTATACACACCACACTACTCACTATACACCCTGCACTTCCAGCCCAGCCTGCCCCGGTGAGGGCACGCCGTGCACACTATACACTATACTATACACACTACACTATACACTACATTATACTACACTATACACTACACTATACACTACACTACTCACTATACACCATGCACACAGACACTATACTACACTACTCACCATACTATATATACTACACTACTCACTATACTATACACACTACACTATACTATACACACTACGCTACTCACTATACTATACATACTACACTATACACGATACACTACTCATTATACTATACATACTACACTACTCACTACACTACATACTACACTACTCACTATACACCATGCACACAGACACTATACACTACACTATACACACTACACTACTCACTAGACTATACATACTACACTACACTATACATACTACACAACTCACTATACACCATGCACACATACACGATATATATACAGCATAATGCAATGCACTGTTTACCAAACATCTCGTGATGGCTGGGATATGTTAACTACTTCGCCTGGTATGCAGGAGGTCAAGGGTTCGACCCCGACCCTGACGCCTGCTGCTGTATATTTGGAGTTTGCATGTCTCTCTCTCTCATCATCATCATCACGGTGGCTAGGAGATGTTAACTACCTCGCCTGGTGTGCAGGAGGTCATGGGATCGACCACGACCCTGACGCCTGCTGCTGTATATTTGGAGTTTGGATTTTTCTCCGGGTCCTCCGGGTTTTCCCTCCACATTTAGAATCAACATCACGCGTTTCGAGTCTTTCGATGCTATACATTTGCACGTGATAAGCCACTTGAGTGAGTTGTCGTTTTTAGTCAGGTCGCTTCTGAAAAAGAGCCATATTGCTCAAGCGGGCCTTACCTGCTAAAATATAAAATACAGTAGTTTAGTTTACTATATGGCACTACTACTACTGGTCATACACACACATAAATTATAAATATAAGAAAACAACAGCGTCACATGATAATTAGAAAATATTGTACAAAAACTGCACCACACTCAATACACCACACACACACACCATACAAAACACGATACACCATGCATCCTGCATCCACAGTCCCGGGTGAGAGAACTCCATGGATACAGACAGATGCTTGCTAGATGGATGATCTATGCCACTCCGTGACCCATCCTCGGGCACCGCCCGATTATCACCGTTGACTACGTACGGTGCAAAAGAAGTTCAACATACATACTTGCAAAGAAAATCGTGAACCTGTATCGCGAAAATCACATCGGCATCTCGTCATGTTCCTGTCACGTGAGACTCACCGCGACAAGCTTTTAACACGAGTTCGGTTTTACCCGACCCAATGATGCACACCCTACACATCACTCAAAGCACCCTGCTGTTGCAGCTGCTGCACCCCTACCCGCGACACCCTGCCCACTACCCCGGGCACTATGCACCCAGCCTGCGCACTCTCTCTAGCAGCCGGTAGGCAACCTCCGACACTATCCACACATGCCCATGGGGCACAACCCAAGTGGACCCTCGACCCCTGAACCCTGGACCCCTGCACCCCACACCTATCGTCTCTCCGGGCACTGCCCCTCTCTGTAGCATGTCTCTGTTAAGACAACATGTTGAGTGTTTGAGCATTCGGAATTATGGTGCTGTAGTCCAATTGAGTAAGGATTTGTGTCTCCAAGCTTTGGGCAAGTCTGTGATCCATTTGCTGATTTTTTATAAATCCCTGATAACATAACAAATACTAAACTTCGATTTAAAGCTTTCGTGACTGCAGGGATTCGTCTTCTTGGTTCTTTCGGTAAAGTCACGTAGAAGGGAAATAATAAAATAATAACAATAAAACATAATAAAATAATTCTCACGACGTTTCGGCCACAACGCAAGCAGCCGTCCTCAGGTGAAGAACAGGTCTGTCAGAAAGACAGCGTCCAGTCCATTCAGACCTGTTCTTCACCTGAGGACGGCTGTTTGCGTTGTGGCCGAAACGTTGTGAGAATTATTTTATTATGTTTTATTGTTATTATTTCCCTTCTACGTGACTTTACCGAAAGAACCAAGAAGATGAATACTAAACTGTAGTATACAATGGATCATCATCAGGAGAGGTATAGTGCTTCCCCCGCCCCCCCCCCCCCCCCGTTACAGACATAGTCACACGGACAGCCAATGCTAAAATGATGTGGACCTTAGTTGGAAATCGTACAACACTACGCATGCGGTGTGGATTCTGGCAGGGTTATGATGCATTGGGTCAGAGGTGAGGAACGCACAAAATCATGGTCCGTATCTGGGCCGTGACTTTGTTTAACATATTAATGTTTGGCAATCCAGCTCGCTCGTCCAAATGACAATTCATCCTGAGTTCTCACCTGGTTAAACGAAAATAAATGCGAAATGTAAATTGATTATCGCCTTCACCAATGGTTGGAAAAGGTCTTGAGACTCTGAGGCTTTCCCACGTAAAATAATTGTCACGGTCACAGTAAGTCATCATCGGAACTTGCAGTGGTTTGTTTTCAAATAGCGAGTGCGTGTGGTCATGGGATCTTTTTGTGAATTAACAGTGGATTTTGACATAGCAGGGACAGTGTTGGGTCACGTCACCCACTCTGTGAACCATGTTAACCGATTTACAGCGTGAAACGCTGGGCGTCATTCCAGTCAGCCGCATGGCGCACATCCACGTGGATAACTTTGCCCCCCCCCCCCCGCTTGCCTTGGCTGAGTGACGGACTGATAACCTTCATGTCCCCTCAAGCGCCAAATTCACTCTCCCTGACCGCTGCAAGGCGAGACGCGCTGGACGGGCGCGATGGCGCACGCAGATTTGTGAAATTCCCAAACTCGCCGGCCTCTGCGTATATTTTGCGTGTCTATGCGATTTGAGTTAAGAGGGTTTGCTGGCATCTCGGAGCACTCTCTGCATATACTAAGCCTGGGGGGGTTGGAAAGGAAGGGTGCATGGGTGTGCGGGGCTGGGATCCAGGTGAAAGTGCAACTTCGAGGGAGGCGGCTTGGTAGGGGCAGCGTTGCCAGGTCTGGAGAATGCACTACAGTTTGAAACGTGTCGGTCACTGGGTTCAACGAGAGCCATCTCGCAACAAAACTGACACTTTTTTTTACAAGGAGTCATGTTTGCATTGACCACAATACCTGCAGTCGGAATGCAAACAAAAAACATAACTCTGATAATGTATGTACTGTCCTTGAAATTGATTGGTCCACGCCCGAGACAGCTTTCTTTAGAGCCTAGTCTCTTATTCTCTCATGGTGTTGGACCAGATGACGCCAAAAGGCGCACAACTCAAAGGCAATGCACCATCGGGGTGAGCATTTACACCATTGGCACCTCATTTGCCAGTAGCAAAATATGATAATTGGTTACTGTAAAAAAAAGGTGTCAGTTTTGTTGCCAGATAAAAGGGTAAAAAAACAATTATCATATTTTGCTACTAGCAAATGAGGTTCCAATGTAGAGCCATTTCATCTTATCCGAGTAGGTTTGAAACGTTGATGGGACATTTTTAGCATGCGTTTAACTCGTGGGAATAACAGAGCTTGTTCTGATTTCGCTGCTGGATGAATGTCCTCCAGCGCCGTATTGGCCATGGGGGTTGGGAGGTGAGTTGATCATACTTCGCTTAGCTGGTCAGCGCCAATAAGTGAAGGGCGGCGTGGGGGGGGGGTCCAGGTCTGGTGTCGATATTATTAGTCGCCACTCACGTTAGCTGTGGCCGGAAATCAAACTCGGGTCACCACATTCAGTGCGCAGTCTCCTTAGCGGTGTCCAGAGGTTGCCCGTCTTTGTGGGGTGTCTTGCTTCCCCGCCATAGGAATGTAGAATTTCCACCACTAGCATGGAGCACCTTGCCCTGGGCAGTGCTCTGTCGTCGGGAGAGGGGTGGAGGCAGAAGCATGGGTTGGGGTGGTGGGGGTTGGGGCCATATGCAGGTGAAAGGGCACGCCGGCTTTAGCGTGGAACGTGTTGCCAGACCTGCAGAGCAAATAGAAACAAAGACAGTACTGTACCTCCATTTAGCACGGTTGGCTACGTACGGCGCGAAAGAAGTTTAACATAAATACAGTAGCTCGGTTTGAATATTTTTTTTCATCGAATCATCTCCCCCCCCCCGCAACCCCATTATGGAATTATTTTCCCAGCCATCGGTGCTCTGCACTCCATGCCTACTTGCTCAAGTCCCAGGATCGAGGACACCTTCCTCTCGCCTTCTGCCTATAACTGTGCCTCTCTCGCTCTCCATAAAATAAATATCCCCACTGTTTCTGCACAGAATCCTGAGATCCACATTGTATTGCATTTTCTTGTTTTATTTTGCCAAATTTGAACCCTGGCGCTGGCACACAGCGACCTGCTCTTACGAGCGACGTCACGGGATTTTTAATGTCCACTGCACGTAGGTCGTGTTGCTGTTACGACTCCCGCGGCATTAACCAGGGCGGCCACTGGATTCGAACCACAAACATCTGCAGCAAGCGGCGAACGTGCCAGCGCTGGGTCGCCTGTCACCGCCTTGTCAATTGTGAAACGACTTGAAGTGTTCCGTTTGTTTTTTAATTTCATGTCCTGAAACGTGGTCGTTAATGAACGTAGCTGACGCATTGCACGTTTACACCGTGCCGCTGTGGTCAGGTTACCCATCCCAAAGCTGGAGGACACCGTCAGGAGGTACCTGGCTGCACAGCGCCCCCTGCTGAACGATGAGGAGTACAGGTGAGACCGACGGCCCAGCAATGCGTGCACGTGTAGAGGAGTAGTGGGAGGAAGTGAGGGCATCGGCAGAAAAGAACGGGATTACATGATAGGGTGACGTCATATTACCAAGAGGACAGGGGTCGTTGTGGGGAGCCGAGGGAACAGGAGTCTCGAGGAGACGGGAGACGCGCCGAACGGACGACACGCCGCTCGGCACCGAGACCCTAGGCCGAGGAAAGAGTAGGATTAGTGGGGAGCTTAGGTGAGGATAGGCCGAGGAGTTAAGCGGGTACCGGGACGGTCCACGGGAAGGACCTAGTTTAGAAGTGTCTACCCCGCGTGTGATCCGGAGATGCTGTACGGGAGTGTAGTGCTTAATAAACTGGCAATAGCCCTTACAGAGAATCTCGTCTCCGTGTGAGTTTACACCTCAACACACGTCACAGCCCTTTCTTTTTTCAATCCGCTGCCGGATGAGGGCCTCCCCCCACGCCGGACGCGTCGTGGGAGTTGCTCTTTGACCATATTTGGCCGCGCTGGTCAGTGCGGAATGGTGGAGGCGAATGAACGATGCTGAAAGTGGTAAGGGATTGCAAGGCAATTCGTAATGGAAGGTACCACGAGTCTCGTGGATAGTCCTTGAGGCTCGAGATGTGTGGGTGTCGCACGCGCGTGCTCGGGCGCAGTCAGACGGAGCGCATCGCCCGCAAGTTTGAAGCCGGGGATGGCCAGGAGCTACACAAGGAGCTGCTGGCGCTGGACAAGCAGAACAAGAAGAGCAGCTACATCTCGGGTGAGACGCGCGAGGCACGCTCAGCGGGGCCCAGCACCCGGCGCTCGGCAGACACCAAATCGCTGGCGGTGGGCGGCGATTTGTTTGTCTGCCTAGCGCCGGTTGCCGATCGACCGCTCGTCAAGCACACGGATTCTCGCTCTCTGGTCCTGTTCACAGCTCTGTTCACAGCGTGATGGTGACAGCCTTGGGTCCAACGCCGTCGCGGTGCCTCGATCACTCGTGGCTACGTGGCACCAGATTAATTAGTGGCTACGTGGTGCTGACTCATGGCTACGTGGCGCTGCACTGACGTTGCTTTGCAGCGCTGACTCCTGGTCACGTGGTGCGTTGCGACTGCTGCAGGCCCTTGGTTTGACATGTACCTGGCGGCGCGCGAGCCCGTGCTGCTCAACTACAACCCGTTTGTGGGGCTGACGGCCGACAGCCGGCCGGGCTACGGCGGGCAGCTGACGCGCGCCACCAACCTGACCGTGTCGGGGCTGCGCTTCATGCGCACCCTGCGGGCCGGCGTCCTCGAGCCCGAGGTCTTCCACCTGAACCCGGCGCGCAGCGACACCGACTCCTTCCGCCGCTGGGTGCGCTGGCTGCCTTCCTCCCTGTCCTGGTAGGTCGCCGATTGTTGTGGCCCGCTGACCCGCACCGCCTGCTGGGCGTCTGCGAAAAACGAGCCTAGTAACTCATCGCGTTCCTCAAGTCTGAAAGGAGATTCTGCTTAATATTAGAATGGTTTTCATGAACTCCCGATCCCTGTGTCATCATCAAACATTGTCCACGGTCGGTCCGCTGGTGGCTCAGCCGCAGAGCGACAAGCTCATAATCGGACAAATTCTGGCTGGGGTTGACTCGGCCCATCATCCATCCCAGGCCAATAAAATCAGCAACACTTTATGGGGAAGATCAACATTGGTTGTCCTATGGATAGGCTCGCTGCAATCTTCGAAACGCGAAATTCCGACCACTGGCGCAGGGCTGTAACCATAGCCCAGTGCGTATTCGCGCAGCCCTTATGGACGTTCCGCGTGTTTCTCTCCCCAACCCCCCCCCGCCACGGCCGCCCACCCTCTTCCCGCTCGCGCCTGTAATGGCGGCGCAGGTACGGCGCGTACGCGGTCAACGCCTACCCGCTTGACATGTCGCAGTACGGCCGCCTCTTCAACTCCACGCGGCTGCCCCGCGCCGACCGGGACGAGCTCTTCACGGAGCCCACCGCACGCCACCTGCTGGTCATGCGGCGCCAGCAGCTGTTCGCGTGCGACGTCCTGGATCGCGACGGATCCATCCTCCCCGCGGCTCGGATACAGGTGGGTTGGCGGTGCAGGGACGGCAACACCGTACCGCAGAAGTAGCTAGCTCCCAACTGGTAAACAAGTGGTTCCCCCTGTACTTGAGGTTGGTTGGTGGGTGGTGCTGAACCCCGTGGAGCAGAGGGATTTGGCTCCCAACCAGCAAGACATTGCGTGAGCCGTGTGGGTGGGTGTGTGAGCTCAGTGTGTCTGACTGTTTGAGGTCTGTGTGTGAGCGTGTGAGGTCTGTGCATGACTGTTTGAGCTCTGCGTGTACTGCGTGAGCTCTTTGTGTGAGCGCGAGCTGTGCGAGAGTGTGTGCTGTGTGAGTGCGAGTGCTGTGTGATTGTGTGCGGAGCGGTAGCGTAGTAGCGGTTAGCGCGCTGCGCTATGAACCCAATAACTGGGGTTCGATTCCCACGCACAGCCAACATCAGTCAAGATTATCTGAACCGGTCCTGGGTCTTCCCTCAAATGAGTTTGTAGCGGTGTGTAAAGATCGCCACTCGTATTTACGGGGGATCTTTGGCTTTGCTTTATGTGAGTGTGTGCGAGTGGGCCCATATGCTACGGGTGAGAAAGGCCCTAGCCCACGAGCGTCACACCCCCCCCCACCCAATTCACGAGGGCCGTCTCTTATGCCACTCTCTCCCACGCCGTAGGAGCGCTTGCGCCGCGTGATGGCAGAGGCTGACGCGGCGGGAGAGCCGTCGCACCCGCTCGCCTACCTGACCGGAGAGAACCGCGACACCTGGGCCGGCTTGCGCCAGCACCTGCTGGAGCTGGGCAACCAGGAGGCGCTGGCGCTGGTCGACTCGGCCATCTTCTGCCTGTGCCTGGACGAGGACGGCGCCGAGGGCGCCTCGCAGGTTACGACGATGAGCCGGCAGCGCCGCTGGCATTCCGCGTTTAATGACGGATCGTTTTTTTTTTGTATTTCGCGTCGTTCGTGCAAGTGAAAATGTCAAACACGCCGTAGAGTTTCTAACGCAGGCACCGGGAACCACAGATAAAAGTGGGGACCGCAGCCAAAACTGCCGCCAACAAATGCCAAAGCACTGTGGAATTTAACATTTAACGTTCAATTTACATTGATATATATTTGTTTGCAATATTTTGTGATACAGTTGTTTTGTGTGTTTTGTTCCTGTTCTGATTGCTATTCACTTCACTGCTGAAACTTCCGTTTTGCTTTTCTCATTTCGGTGAGCCAGGTCCGCCACTCTTGCAAATCACACCCCTGGTCTCGCCTGGTGCAACAAAATACATTTTCACTCCCCGTCCACATGCCACCCTTCTCCTGTCCGCTTGTCCGTGCGACGGTGAGCAGCAGCAGCAGCAGGGTGAGGAACGATTGACGGCGCTCGGCGGACGCGACGCGCCGGCTCCCGTGCGTCTGTCGCACCTCATGCTGCACGGCGTGGGCGGCGACCGCTGGTTCGACAAATCCCTGAGCCTCATCGTGGCGGCCGACGGGGAGGCGGCCGTGCACTTCGAGCACTCGTGGGGCGACGGCGTGGCGGTGCTGCGCTTCATCAACGAGATTTACAAGGCACGGCGTAGTGACGACAACGGGCCAGCAACGGCGACTGCGATATCCTACTCACAGCCCCTCAGTCGTCTTCCTCCGACGACCCTAATTCCTGACCCGGCTCCGACTTCTTGCTTTCTACGTGCACCTAACCACGTCTCTCCCCCAGCCCGACACTTTGCTCCTGCATCGGTTCAACTATCCGGCCACCAGACCGCTGCCCCTACCACCCTTCACCTACCCTCATCCATGCCAATTTCACTGCTTCACGCACATGTCTCATACCCCACTGCATCTCATCCACGCCGCAGCCATCAGACACCCTCACTCACCATCACATTCCACCCTATTCTGCCTTAACTACCCCAGCAACATCGGCTCCATTCCCAGCCACCTGTCCATCCATTCTGTCACCTCCCTCACTGAATGCTGTTGGCTTGCATATAAATCCGAAATAGAATAGAATAACAGTGGCCGCCGAGTAGAAGTACTGGCCAACGTAAGAGGTCGGCCAGGACATCTCCTGGACATCTTTGACAAAGAGCTTCATAGCTCATCGGCTTTGTCCAGGATTAACAAAGATTCTTCATTGTGAAGTGGCCGTACGACGTCTCGTAGAAACGACCGCCAACGCCGATTGGCATCGTAGGTCGGGTTGAAGCGATAAGAATCCCCGAAGCCGACGGCCCCACAGTGCCGTCAAGTCAGGACTCGCCTACCATCAAGGCTGCATGCCCTTCGTATTGAAACGATACAAATGCCTAAGCCGAGGGCTCTGTGACACACAGCGCTGACTGCGAACGACTGGAAAACCTGGAGAGTGTTGACAGCCGTGGCGTTAGTGGCGTCCATAATTGCAGTGTAGGGATCGATGCAGACGGTGATTCCAATATCTGTGACGGGCGACGTCAATTTCGTGACGTCTCTCTCTCTCTCTGATGCAGGACTCGCTGAAGAGGCCGGCCGTGTCTCCCGATGACGCGCCGCCCTCCTCCGACGTGGAACAGTCGTCCGTGCGACGTCTCGATTTCCGTCTGGACGACGCGATGAAGGCGGCCGTGGACGCCGCTCGCCGGCAGTTCCACCGGACGGTGTCCGGCCTCGTCATTCACGCCATGGAGTTCGACAAGTACGGGAAGAACTTCCTCAAGGTGCGGCCCGGCGGTTAGCGTGGCGGTGGCGGCGCGGTGTAGGCGGTTGTGCCCGCCTGTCCACCGCGGGGCAATTTACCGAGGTTTCACACCGCACTAGGTACTCATTTGAGGCTGAGTCAACCTATGGGAGGCCCAGGACCGGTTCAGACAATCTTCACCGGTGTTGGCTGTGAGCGATGAATCGAAACCTGGGCGGCCGGGGTTCATTGCTCGGCGCGCCAATCGCTATACCACCCCCCCACCCCACCCCCACCTTGTCGTCTCCCCGCAGAAGCAGAACGTGTCCCCGGATGCCGTGATGCAGCTCGCCTTCCAGATGGCGTTCTTCCGCGAGCACGGCCACGAGGTGGCCACCTACGAGTCGTGCAGCACCGCCGCTTTCCGCCACGGGCGCACCGAGACCGTGCGGCCGGCGACGAGCGCCACGCGGCGCTGCACGCGCGCCTTCGTCCTGGGCCGCGACGAGGCCGGGGCAGGCGCATCGCCGCCCGGCGTGGCCGAGCTGCGGGCCATGTTGGAGGAGTGCTCGCGCTACCACGGGAAGCTCACGCGCGAAGCCGCCATGGGTAACGCGCACGCCACTGACGGGAAGGTTTTGAAGGGGGTGGGGGGGCTGTGGACGGGGGAGCGGTGGGGCAGTGGGCAGCGCACCGCGCTACGAATCTGGCGGTTTGTGTTCGTTTATACCAGCTGGTTCATGCCAACAGGTGCATGGTTATTACAAAGCTTTAGCAATTACAGCAGCGTCAGTGCACAATCGCTAAAGGTACTAAACAGTCTTGGTGGCTTTTTGGGCAGTTATGGCGTCAGAATATCTGTCCCCTTGTCCCGATCAAATTAGTGAAAAACTTAAATTTTGGTCTTCTGCTCAACTCATGATGTGGGCAAAGAGTGAGGCTACCCGAGTCGTGGGCAGGGATCCGCGAACAGCAGGTGGTACCAACGTCACAACGTGCGAGGCTTGTGGCTGTGTGAAGGTGGGCAGGGCTGGTGAAGTGACGTTGGGGACCGCCAGATCACCACCCCTCCCAGTTGTAGCTTTACCAACCAAGTCTCTCCCTCTCTCTCCACGTCCATCTCGCCTGTCTCGCCGAACCGTCCAGGCCAGGGCTTCGACCGCCACCTGTTTGCGCTGCGCAAGCTGGCGTCGGAGCGCGGCGGCTCGCTGCCGGAGCTGTACCGCGACGAGGCGTACGCCCGCATCAACCACAACGTGCTGTCCACCAGCACGCTCGCCAGCGACGCCGTGCGGCTCGGGGGCTTCGCGCCCGTGGTGCCCGACGGCTTCGGCCTGGGCTACGGCATCCACGCGCACGCCATGGGCTGCAACGCGAGCGGCTACGCGGGGGGCGGCCGCGACGTCGCCCACTTCCTCAAGACCCTGCGCGTGAGCCTGGAGCAGATCGGCGCCGTGCTGGAGGGCCGGCCGATCGCGTGAGGGTCGCCACCCCCCCACCCCCCTCCCCCTGTGTGGGCGCGTTTTCTGAAGACGTAGGGCTCGGCAGGGGGGCGGTGGGAAGCTGCCAGGATGAGTTGTCGGAACTAGACGAGTCGCTACTGCGCAGGTTTTCGCGGTTGTGCTGTATGTGGCCCCCTTCCGTCCCCCCTCCCCTCCTCCCGCCACCAATGTGATTTCGGGTTGTACCACGCGGTCTTCGTTGGGCACAATGTCCGACGTTTCGCGACACGTGCTGAGAACTTCTTCAGCAACTGATTTTAGAAGCTTCCTTGCACGTGGAACGGAACAACGGTCAGTGCGCCGAGCAACACGCTGTGACAATGTGAAAGCGTGTCGTCAAAATGGCAGGATACAAATATAAAGGAGACGGTAAACACGGGACGAAAACAAAATGAATTATCGAGTCGTGACTGCGAATCGTGACGGGCAATTGAACGGCTGAGGTCAGGGGAGGGGAATGGGGAGTTCACCGTTGCGTGACTGGGGCCTCGGTCATTCCCTGAGGCACAGCCGTGGGAGAATATCTCCCACTCATCCCACGCACGCCTCCCCACTCACGCTCACTCCCGTCCGTCCCTCGTTTCCCAGCCACGCAAACCTCGTCTCCCGCAATTTGTCCCACTCCCTGCCATCCATCCCTTGCCCTCGCGCTGAAAGAATACAATTTTATTTTTCGATCATATAAATTCCACCACTTAATATTACGGATGGCTGGAGGATTGGAGGATAGAGACTGTGATTGGGTGATGGGGGAGCAGAGAGAATGAACGACCTCTATCTCTCATCTCCCACACATCTCTTTTTCCTTGCACTCCTCACACTGGCCATCATCTCCCATCCAACCCATTACTACCTCCCCATTAACTCCGTCCGCACTGGGCCCTAGCTGCCAATTTCAATGTCATTAATTGTCGATTTTATGAATAGTTTTTTTGACTAAATTAGTTTTTTTTTTAATCCGCACAACTAACTAGTGTTGTTAATTCAGAGTTTACTGTATTGCAAGTGCATTATTTTAGATGGAAAATGAATAGCTTTGTATGTCCATATGACATCCAACATCTCGGTAATCGAAAATGAGCAATGGGGGGGGGGGTGTGTAGAGAGTTCTCTAAAGCGGCCGTCAAAAACGGCAAAATGTGACTTCCGTTTGTTCTTGAAACACGTGGCGCCTCCAAAGAAACGCAAACGTGACGATGTCGCGGCTGCACTGACCACCGCGCCCACAGAGTTGGCGTAAAGGCGCAGAACTTGGGTCCTGTGTCTGTGTAGGCACGTAAGCTGCACTGCCAAAATATAATTGTGTGTGGCTTTGTAGACATGCTGTGAATGTACCTTCAACGCTCGCTCGTTCAAACGCACACTCGTCTCTACGGCAAAGCCCCTCTCCGTAGCGTCATCACGTACCCCACAAAGGGGGGTACGTGATGGTCCTCGTGCTGTTGTTCCGTTTATAAATTTCCAGTGGTCACGAACTGCGTGACAAGTTTGTGTTGATGAACATGTTATCGCACAGCATAGAAGTACAATGCAACTTTGGATTTTGCTGCAATGTCCTGTGTTGGCAAAATGGTCCCGAAACAACCAAATTGGTTTCGATTTAAAGCTTTCGTGACTGCAGGGATTCATCTTCTTGGTTCTTTCGGTAAAGTCACGTAGAAGGGAAGTAATAAAATAATAAAAATAAAACATAATAAAATAATTCTCACGACGTTTCGGCTACAACGCAAGCAGCCGTCTTCAGGTGAAGAATGAGACACTGCCAAGCTCGTGAGAATTGTTTTATTATGTTTTATTTTTATTATTTTATTACTTCCCTTCTACGTGACTTTACCGAAAGAACCAAGAAGATGAACCAAATTGGTGCTTGACAGTCACCCATGACCACACTATCCTGGCTAGGCAAATGTATAAGAAACTACAGTATACTCAACAGACAAGTCATCCTCTTTGGGTCTTTCGGTAAAGTCACGGAGATAGAAAAATTATGAAATAAAAATCATTGTGATTTTTATTTCATTATTTTTCTATCTACGTGACTTTACCGAAAGAACCAAAAGAGTATGAATTCCTGCAGTCACGACAGCTTTTACGTTAAGATTTAGACGAGTCATCTTTTGGCCAATTGATCACATTATGCTGTACGTGGTTGTACATTTCAGTGTGTAAATAATCTCAGTTGTCATTCATTCAATGATCACGGTTAAGTTGGTCTCAAGATTCATGCGCAGGTCTTTACGGACCGGATGCTTCACGGCAGAGGTCCGATTCTGTGAATGCAGCTCTTTATCCACCAGTTTATTCGTGTTGGGGTAGTTTGTAGGTATAGTACAACGTCACGTATCCGACACGCTGGAGGACTAAGGTATAGTCGCATGTGTGAAGAGGTCGGATAACTGAACAGATCTAAAAATGACGATCACATACACAAATAGGTCACTGGACAAAGAGCTACAAACTGCAGGGGAAGAAGGGTAATCATTGCTGCAAGTGCTGTTCACCAGGAATTAGGATGAAGAAGAGGTCCAGGTGTGGGATGTACTGATTGGATTTCTTAGTGCAAAAGATTATACTATTAATATTTCTTAGACAGGTACAGCCCCGAATATGCTGCTGGATGAGGGCTGTCCCCCACCCCGCTAGGCTTGGCATGCCATGGGGATTAGTTGACCGTAACGTCACCACTGGTTACTGTGGGTTTGTGAAGGTTGGGGAGCATAGTCCAGGAAGGCAATCCACTGCTGGGGCATCTGGATTTAAGTGAATAGGTTTGTGAAGGAAGACGCAGATGTAGGGATCTCCGCTAAAGTGATGGCGATCCTTTTGGAAATTATAAGCTACCCGGAGCCTTTGTTGATGTTTCTTAGGGGAAGATTGCGTAAATATAAATGTCATTAAACCCGTCACCACCCGACACGGCCAATTAGTAAGGTTTGTCACGTAGATAAAACATGCCAATTTATTACTAGTTCAGCACACACCAGCGTTACTAGTTTAGCATAATTTCGATTTAAAGCTTTCGTGACTGCAGGGATTCATCTTGGTTCTTTCGGTAAAGTCACGTAGAAGGGAAATTATAAAATAATAAAAATACAACAATAAAATAAAATTCTCACGACGTTTCGGCCACAACGCTGAGGACGGCTGCTTGCGTTGTAGCCGAAACGTGAGAATTTTATTTTATTATGTTTTATTATTTTATTATTTCCCTTCTACGTGACTTTACCGAAAGAACCAAGAAGATAGTTTAGCATACGCACCGGTGTGCTGAACTCGAATTTGCATGTTTTGTTTCCGTGACAAACCTTACTAATTGGCTGTTTCGGGTGGTGGCAAATTTATCGACACATTTATATATTTACGCGATCTAACCCCAAAACACCTATTATTATGGATGATATTGGTCGTGAAAGCCTCCGACTACGCGTTATGCTCACCTTGAGCCTTTTGTCTGATGTATCTATGCAACCCCCCCTGACCCCCCTACTCCGGACGGCGAAGGGCGCGTTCCTTTTCTCTTCAGCTCGTCATTGGACACGTGTACGTAAGGCTGTACGTATTCTGGTGATGCGTCCAATAAAGCCAATCGTGTGCAACACATCGGAGGTTTTGTCTCTTGATCAACAGCTACTAATAGTTGAACCCGTAGGATTTCTCGACCAATATAATTCGTAATACAGTTTTTTGGGGGGTTAGATCGCGAAATTTACACGGAATTTACGCGATCTAACCCCCCCCAAAAAAGCCTGTATTATAGATACGAATATGTTACTCCATAGTCCAATTTAAAACTGGTCGTCAATATTTTTGTTTAATATCTCCCGTAATTTTTTTTATATTCGTATTCGGCACCACGGTGTAAAGTGCAGTCGCCAACTCTTGTTCAGCCTCTGGGCGTATGTGGTATGAAGGGTCAATGCCTCATACGTGGCCTCTTATACAAAAAACCTGTTAAGGCCACACTATGGACGAGCGTGTTAAGTTTTTTGTTCCTCTTGTGCACCACTGCCAACAGCAGGAGCGGTGGTGCAGTGGTTGGCGCACTTGCACGGTGAACCTGGCCACGTGGGCGGTATTCGAACCGGTCTTGCCCCCCACCTCAACCAACCACAAACCCGCACTGACAAGTGTGGTGAAATATGGTCAAGGGGACCGTCCATAAATGACGTCACGCACCTAGTTGGGGGGGGGGGGGTCAGACATTTGTGACGGGGGGGGGGGTTTGAGAAATGTGGCATCACGTAAAAATTAGCAACTTTAAATAAATATAGACAATACTTTATACCTCTTCTTGGTTCTTTCGGTAAAGTCACGTAGAAGGGAAGTAATAAAATAATAAAAATAAAACATAATAAAACAATTCTCACGACGTTTCGGCCACAACGCAAGCAGCCGTCCTCAGGCGAAGAATGAAGCACCACCAAGCTTGGAGCGTATATTTAAGCTGCTGGGTTAGAGGGGGGGAGGTGGGAAGAAGAGCGCCTAAACAAAATAATTTGCATATCAAGAGGAATTCAGCATATGGAAAATGCGTAGGAGGTGGGCGGGGGAGGGGGTTCCAAATCAATACTATGCCCGTGCATTATGCAGGATTAGCAGCATCAAGGGGGGGAGGGGGTAGCATTAACAAAGGAAAGGAATGTTAGTAGTATGTAGCTGCAGTTACTAAACAACCACGTAAAAAACTAAAGTATAAACTGCATAACAAACTAAAGTATAAACTACATAGCATCATCAGTATACTTACTATACTCTACAATAAGTTGAGTTACTAACAGTAAGTAATACATAAAAAATGTTCTACGTTGTAAAAAATTATATAATATGCTTCCATCTAAACTTTATTCTCTTACATCACACGCGTCTATACCGTACTATATACTGCCATAGGCAAACCCAACATTAAATTACATACTGTATTGCTATAAACCACCCTATACCTTATACATTTTAATATAACACTATGTATTATTCTACCCACCCTAATGTGTATCAAAATGGTTTATTACGTCCTTCCAGTGATTGCTAAGCCAGAATCCATCTTCTCGGTTAAAATTGTCTCTGTGTTTGTATATGTGGATCGCCTCATGAACGAATCTCTCATGATAGCCAGATGGCTTGCAGAGAACCTCTGTCTTGGAGAAGTCAATGTCATGTGAGCCCACTGAGTTGTAACAGTGATCTGCCACTGCTGAGGTGTTTGTCCTACCGTGTTTCAGGTCTGCTTTATGTTCACGGATGCGGTCCGAGACATGTCGTTTGGTTTCCCCAATGTAACTGCTACCACAGAGGCAACTTAGTTTGTAGACGCCAGGGTACTGTATGTCTGGAACCACGTCTTTTACAGACGGTACCAGATCACGGATGGACAGAGGTTCTCTGCAAGCCATCTGGCTATCATGAGAGATTCGTTCATGAGGCGATCCACATATACAAACACAGAGACAATTTTAACCGAGAAGATGGATTCTGGCTTAGCAATCACTGGAAGGACGTAATAAACCATTTTGATACACATTAGGGTGGGTAGAATAATACATAGTGTTATATTAAAATGTATAAGGGTGGTTTATAGCAATACAGTATGTAATTTAATGTTGGGTTTGCCTATGGCAGTATATAGTACGGTATAGACGCGTGTGATGTAAGAGAATAAAGTTTAGATGGAAGCATATTATATAATTTTTTACAACGTAGAACATTTTTTATGTATTACTTACTGTTAGTAACTCAACTTATTGTAGAGTATAGTAAGTATACTGATGATGCTATGTAGTTTATACTTTAGTTTGTTATGCAGTTTATACTTTAGTTTTTTACGTGGTTGTTTAGTAACTGCAGCTACATACTATTAACATTCCTTTCCTTTGTTAATGCTACCCCCCTCCCCCCCCCCTTTGATGCTGCTAATCCTGCATAATGCACGGGCATAGTATTGATTTGGAACCCCCCCCCCGCCCACCTCCTACGCATTTTCCATATGCTGAATTCCTCTTGATTTGCAAATTATTTTGTTTAGGCGCTCTTCCCACCTCCCCCCCTCTAACCCAGCAGCTTAAATATACGCTCCAAGCTTGGTGGTGCTTCATTCTTCGCCTGAGGACGGCTGCTTGCGTTGTGGCCGAAACGTCGTGAGAATTGTTTTATTATGTTTTATTTTTATTATTTTATTACTTCCCTTCTACGTGACTTTACCGAAAGAACCAAGAAGATGAATCCCTGCAGTCACGAAAGCTTTAAATCGAAAAATACTTTATACTTCATTAAATACTTTTAAATAAATGGTTTCTCCTATAACAGAGTGCAACGCCACATTAAATACGCACTGCAATGACAATAGTTTAAAGCGATTTGAAACATGTTAAATTTTGGGGGGGGGGGGGGGGGCAAAGCTTTGTGACGTCACATTTGAGGGGAGGGGTCTGACTTTTTGTGACGAAGAGAGGGGGGGTCAAAAATCGTCCAAAATCGCGTGACGTCATTTATGGACGGCCCCATAGGGGTGGGAACAATGCCAGTCTGTTGGTCATTACAATAAGGAGCTGTGCTGTTGGACATCTCATTGTTCATTCGTACAAGTATCGGAACAGCTGCAGTGAAGATTGAATGGACACTCAACAAATGAGAGGGAGACCAGAGTTATTCACAACGACAAGATATATTGACCAAATAGAACAACCTCATTACGTGATTTTACGATCATTTAAAGTCACGTGCTAATCACACTGAAGTTTCGGATTATAAGACGCACTTTGCCCCCCCCCCCCCCCCCCCATTGTTTTTTATAAACAAAACATTTTACGCGTGCGTCTTAGAATTCGGTAGGCGTGTGTTTAAAATAGTTTGGATAATTATGGAAACCGGGCAACGCGCTTGGAGTGCGTCTTATAATCCGGACAAGACGGTCGATATTCAAATCTGTCACGTGCTCACCAAACAGCCGAAGTTTGCACGCCAATTAATTATTCATGAGCTTGGTCACGTGCTCCGGGTTTTGGCGCCAAACGGTTACATCCGCCAACGCGACTATGCGCGGCAGCCGGCCCATCGCGCCCCGCCCCCCGCGCGCGCTTCAGCCAATGGGAGCGCGCCTAATTAATTATTCATGAGCCCGCGCCAACCGCTTCAGCCAATGGGTGCGCGCCTAATTAATTATTCATGAGCGCGAGGACGCAACTTCTCAGACATTTTCCAACCGACCAATGGGGATGTCACCTAATTAATTATTCATGAGCGCGCGGGGGGGGGAGGTGGCGTCACGCCCACCCCCCTCGGATACGAACCCGCCAACCAATGGCGTGTGAGGAGGGGTGGTGGCAACAACTCGTTAATTATTCATAACGAACGCGAGGATCCGAACGACCAATGGGAGCGCGCGCTTGACGGGTCATCGATTATTCATGAGCTCTGGAAGGGGGCGGGGCGATGGCGCTGTCCAATGGGAGAGGAGCATCGGGCAGCGCGCGGGAGACGACGACGCTCGCGCTGCCGCCACCAGGCAACGGGTTCACTTCGCGAGGAGAGAGAGACAAAGACGCGTGTGGGTGGTAGTAGTTGCTGCTGCTGCTGAGGTATTGGTGGTGGTGTTGGTGGTGGTGGTGGGGGGCGTGAAGTTGTTGCAAGCAGCGTGTGAGAGAGTTGACTGAGGTGGTGGTGAGTATTTTCGCTGAGTGTGTACGCGTGGTTTCGTGTTGAATCGATGTTGTTGTTGGTGTGTGGTGTTTTGCTATAACATGTCGTCCGCGATGATTCGTGTGTGTTGTGAAGAAGAGGGGGGGTTGTCTACACGATGGTCTGGGTAGGCATTGAGTTGTTACGCAGTCCAGAGTTATTGTGGCGGGAGAGACGGGGGCTTATTGTAGCACTTTGTTCAACCAGGAGATGCTTTGTAGTAGTAGTAGTAGGCCTTCGTTGAGACTCTTGTGGGGGTTGGAGAGGAGACGTTTCGCAGCCCCCCCCCCTTCCCCAGTATTCATTCTCGCCCATTAAAAAACTCACCACCCCCCCCTGTGTCCATTATTATGTTAGTAACAAACAAAAACGTGGCGTTAGTTCGGTCAAAGAACCCGCACGGAACTGCGTGGAGGCGGACAAGGAGCCGGGGCGATTGTTATCCAGCAGTGGATCGACCATGGCCGAGGATAACGACGATAACGACGACTTTGTGTCAACCCACTGCGGGATGTGTAGGCCTCGCAACGTCGTGTGTGTAGTGCTGATTTCGTGGCGTGTTTCACCATACTTCACCACACTTCACCATTCTTAACCACGCCGTTGGGGGGTGGACAGTGTTTCACCATACTTCACCACGCCGTTGGGGGGGGGGGGTGGACAGTGTTTCACCATACTTCACCATACTTCACCATACTTCACCACGCCGTAGGGAGGTGGACAGTGTTTCACCACACTTCACCACGCCTTGGGGGGGGGGGGGGTGGACAGTGTTTCACCATACTTCACCACACTTCACCACGCCGTGGGGGGAGGGGGTGGACAGTGTTTCACCATACTTCACCATACTTAACCATACTTCACCACGCCGTAGGGAGGTGGACAGTGTTTCACCATACTTCACCACACTTCACCACGCCGTTGGGGGGGGGGGGTGGACAGTGTTTCACCATACTTCACCACGCCTGTTACAGTAACCTGTGTTGTTACATTTAAATCGCTAGAATATCTGTACCGTAATCGCAAAACGTAACGTCCTCTCCGATGCGTTGTCGTGTGGCAAGCACGTGGAGTAAGTAGAGGGGGACCCCCCATTGTGAGTACGGCAGGAGGTGGTGTGATGCTGTGGGTCACGGCTTCTTTATAGGGGGGTGAGGGGTTGTCCTTTACCGCCACTAACCACTACTAACCACTAATTAACATCGTTACTGCGGCGTCGCTACATTCGTATGGGGGGTGGGGGAGCTCTTTTGTCAAAGAGTGCAACGCTGCTTGCTGCTGGATTTGAGGGGCCTGGCCCTACCGCGTTTCAAGCAAGTTGTGGAGCTTGGGTTTGGTGGAGGATTAAGTTGACCCTAATTCACCGCGTCTGGCACTTGCGGTTGTGGTAAATGTGGAGGGGGGCTCTCAGGAAGCAACATAGACCAAAGATCCCCCCTTTAAGGCAGTTATTTTGACCATACTTCACCACGTTTCATCTTCTTGGTTCTTTCGGTAAAGTCACGTAGAATGGAAACAAGCGTTGTGGCCGAAACGTGAGAATTATTTTATTATGTTTTATTTTGTTGTTTCCATTCTACGTGACTTTACCGAAAGAAACAAGAAGATGAATCCCTGCAGTCACGAAAGCTTTAAATCGAAATTCACCACGTTTGTCGCTTGTTGGTCATTTTTTGAGGGGGGCTCCCAGAAGGCAGCATAGACCAACCATGACTGTTGCCCCTGGCCACCTGCCCCCTACAATTATGTTCCCTATACGTCGTCTGTACAGCCCCCCCCCCACCCCGTATCATGGAATCCAATCACTGCCTGATGAAGGTCGTGGTGGTTTATTTGACCATACTTCTCCCAACGCGGACCAACGTTGGTTTGGTGACATAGAGGAGTACAATACAACGATCGATGTCACTGTAGCAGCCTGACAGCCACCCGTGGTATGTGCACGCCCGTCCAATAATTGTCCAGGCTCAGAAATCCTGCCCAGCTTCCGTGATGTCACGCCAAAGTGGACGCAATCCGGGTGATTTGGTCATCATAGTCTTACGGTCCCAGGCCACCACAATATTAATTCAATCATCGCGTTAACAAGGTACTTGTAAATGCCCGTAAATATCCTCGCAAAGTGTTAAAGTCGTAATCTCAAACTTGCCACGTGACTGGCTCAGCTGTCACGGAACTGGTTGTTTACATCGTATTCTTAGGGTTTTTCGGTAAAGTCACGTAGGTAAAACATTAATAAAAGTAAAATGAAAATCACGACGTTTTATTTTATTTTACTTTTGTAAATTTTTTACCTACGTGACTTTACCGAAAAAACCTAAGAATATGAATCCTTGCAGTCACGAAAGCTTCAAATCTAGAATTTTTACATCGGTCTGGCATTTGGTGATTAATTCATATTTACAGGACTACTTATACTCAGCCCTTTGTTAATCTAGCTGCTGGACTTAAGCCCTCCCCACGCCGTGTTGGTTATGCAGGAAGTTTGACCATACTTCACTAAACTGGTTATGGTGAGTTAGGGAGGGACAGGGAATCGATTGTTTCTGGGCATCTGTGAAAAAGAGCTTTATAGCTCATCGGATTTCCCCAGTATATATATTCTGGTTCTGATATGACTCGCCACTGATACTAGCCGTGGCCAAGAATCTAACACACTTAGGGATACGATTCGCCGATTCAAGAATGAATATATTGTGTCATTTGAACTGTCATCTGAGTCGTCGGTCTCCTGCATTGTTTATCCCTTTTGTTTCTGGATCTCGGTGGCCACAAACCAACCGGTGTCACCCCCAACCCCACCGCGACATTGGCCGTGATTGCACGTGTGCGGTTTCCGTATGGCGTGTGCGGAAATACGACGCTTGCTGTGGGGTGGCTGTACGCTGTCGAAATGTTCAGGGATCTTTAATATTTGCCTACGCCAAACTCGTGATCAATGCCAGCGTGTGGAGTATGTTAACACAACCGCTGCTGTCTATCTGCACCGTATGTATTCTTTGAAAAATAGATGTAAGACATCTTATCTATGTGTTAAACCAAAAAAAATATTCCAATTTACAGACGTTTGTCAATGCACTGCTGGATGAAGGCTTCCTCCGTGCCTTGCCAGTGATGGGGATTTGTATGGCCGTATTTCACGCTGGTCACTGCGGGTTGGTGTTAAGTGGGTTGTGCCAGGCTTGCCACCGACTGATGTTAGACGTGGCTGGGATTGTAGCGTACCTGTCAACCCCCATTGTCTAACTTATTACACACCAATTCAAACCTTATTGGTCACCGCGTGCCCTTATAAATCTACAAAGCCCCATCACAAGGGAGAAACACAAACAAATAGACAAAAATGTTTTTTTTGCCCGTATTGAAACGGCTGTACGCCGTTTGGACCTGAGAACTCCATTTTCCCTGTACAAGAATACGAGGTAAACTGTATGGGTTGACAGGTGTATGATGTAGCCCCCAAGGCTCCCATCGCGTTACAGTAAAACCTTGGATTGCGAGCATAATTCGTTCCGGAAACGTGTTTGTAATCCAAAGCACTCGTATATCAAAGCACTCGTATATCAGTTGTGAATCACGTGACGCTCGGAAGACAAAGCGTATACACGTACTACTCGTATTGCAAGACCTCGCTCGTTTATCAAATTAATATTTATTTTAAAATTTTGCTCGTCTTGCAAAACACTTGCAGAACAAGTTACTCGCAATCCAAAGTTTTACTGTATTTTGTTTTGCGTGAACTTGCGCTGCTCCCGTGGTTTAGCGTTGCCTTGAAGGGCCTCAGCTGCCCGAGTTTGCGGGCACATTTTAACGGCCGGTTTCACACGGTGGCTTCTTCACACTCCTCTCTCAAAGCACTGGCTGTGTTGGTTTTAAAACTACTGTATGATGACAGGTTACCAGATATGAATATTTTTGACACGGTGCACATTGCATATCATTGCCGGCTGATGGGAATTATAATGATGGTCTAGAAATGTATGAAAGTTGAAATTTGGCACTAATATATGCAAGTGTGCATGTTTGTTTATAACAAGAAAAATGAAAAACAAACCTGTTGAATTTCGATTGCGAATATTGTGGGCCTCCAGATAATACAGCCTAGAGGCCAGTTGGTTTCACTTGTATGGCAAGGCGAGATTTGAGTTTGACATTGATTTGAATCTCATGATAAACACATTCAAGTATACAATCCCCTTGTCATTGAATCAAGTTGTCTGCCTCTTGTGGCGTGCGATATTAAAGCTTGAAATGGGGTAAAGCCAACACTACCAGTTAACACAAGCATTGAACAGACCCCGGGTAAATCTCTCTACTTCAAATTAAAACCGAGTCATATTTTGGTGCACCACCCTATTTATTTAGGCTCAAAAAAAGTGAAACGGGACCTTGTGTTTTTATTTAATTACCAGCCTGACGGGAATATTTGTTGTAACTAATAAATGAACAGACGCTTGTCTGTTCATTTGTTTTACCAGCCTTAACCCTTCCAGGCAGTGCATGGTTATTAGGCTGTAGTTCAAATAAACACGGTATGGCCTCATCCACGGTCACGTTAACCTTAGTCTTGCTCGGCAACCGTCCTCCCTTATGAGGTCGGGCACTAGGCCGCTGTTGTACGAGTGGGTGAGTTGGGAGGCCCATGGTTTGTGGAGAGAGTGTGACCTTGGTCGGTTTGATTCAATGACCTAGCACTGCTCTTTGGTTCTTTCGGTAAAGTCACGTAGAAATTTTAAATCAAATGATAATAGAATACGACGTTTCGGTTGCAACACAAGCAGCCATCATCGGGTAAGAATGAATGATAAAACACAGTGTGTGTCTCGCTCGGTGTGTCTCTGCATGTGTGACTGCCGATGTTGTTTTCGTGTCTGTGTTTTATTATTCATTCTTACCTGATAATGGCTGCTTGTGTTGCAGCCGAAACGTCGTATTCTATTATTATTTTATTTTCTACGTGACTTTACTGAAAGAACCAAAGAGTAATTCCTGCAGTCACAAAAGCTTCGAATCTAGTTTGACCCAGCACTGCCTGCCACTTCCTTTTTATAGTGGAAATGTGGCATGCGTGATACCTCTAGGCTTGACATCTAATTTTTGTCAATTCTATGCAACATTATTTTCCGAGATATGACCCATGGTCTTCCACAATTAGTTCTTTTGGATACTAAAATAGTTCCAGATATTTATCAGGTCCAATTCTGGATTCAGATCCATTTAAATCCTAGAACATTACTGTTAAAATCCGTCCATTCAACTCCCCTGATTGGTCTAACAGCGAGGACGTTGGGAGCACTGCGTTGGAAGCTGGGGTTTTAATATCCCCTGCGTTTAACATAATTGGATTAAACCACTACATTCTAACCACCCCCCACCTCTAGATCATCTCCATGGTACATCCCGTACATTCACGTAATGCGTGGCCGGCAGTCGCGTATGCAGCATGCCAACAACGGGTGGCCGTGAGTAGTGCCTCTCGTTTTCCCAGCCGCCAGACCGCGCTCGCTAGCGTCGAGCTTGTTTTATGACCGAGCGTGCGTGAATTGGGTCTTTACAATATCGGGATAAACGTTTGGAAAGGTCTCTGCATGAGGTCGTCGCCTAATGTTTACTTAAAAATAAGAAGCCTCAACATTTGTCATGTGTTTAATTGAGTGAAAGTTTGCTCCCCCCCGCCCCCATCTTATTTTCTGTTGGCTTCGTTGCTTTACTTTATTTTATTGTTTTTGTTATTTGGGTCACCCAGGTCAGTCTTGCCATTAAAACTGATTCTGCTCCCTTCTGAGGTCCTACCCGGTTAAACTAATAAACGTGAAATGCGTCTTGGCGTTAATGGATGCGCTTTTAACAGCGCATGCGAGAAACTGCCGTAAATGATGTGAAATGTTGAACGTCGGATCGCGTCTTCTGTTCGGAGGTGTAAGTACTGACATGTAGTTGTCTGCATTCCCATTGCAGATTATCGCTTTGAACGGGAGCCGGAGTTGAACGCTGAACTGGTCCTTACTGGCATAACCCCGGTGACATCATGGCCAAAGATGTACGTGCGCACACATTGCAAGAACTACAGAGAGAGCCCGGTGCTTAATCATGGCAGGGACCACGAAGTTGCCTTGAGAATTTTCAAAATGGACCATTATTGTGGACAAGTGTAACTTTACAACTAAAACCTGTTGTACAGTTTACATAAAAGCTTTGGTTGGAGCAGTGGAACAGTGGTTGGTATTACTGTGCTCTGGGTCCATTGACCCGAGTTCTGTTCCTGGCTATGACTTGCATCAGTGGCGAAGTAATATCTGAACCGGTCCTGGGCTTTTTCCCCCTTCACAAATCTGCGCCGACCAGGATGGTGAAGTATGGTCAAACAAGCCTCGTAACTGACACAGCAGTACGACGACCTTTGTACAGCAGTGGATTGACTGTAAATTGTTAGAAAGTTCTGGTTATTTTTTTACATGTGCTTTCAATGTAGGTTATGTTGCATGTATTCATGACATAGTGATAGTTTTCAAATGTGTATCTTGGAATTTTCGTAGTTTTTTACATAACGTGCACTACATGTTAATGTTATAATTTTTTGTGTGTGTACTGGACACATTATTTTTCCATTCACTGATGTGTGAACCGCGTTGAAATTGCAAAGGTGGCCCGTGTCGCTGACTCGTGTATTCGCTCTGCAGGTCGGATATTTTGACAAGAACGGAGAGTTAAGGGGCTTTTTGGAAAACTTCAGCCCATCCAAAAGTAAGTTATTTGATCTTTTTTTTTCAATCGTCATGCCATCTCGAACACAACGGCAATATTCATGAATGTGACGCCGATCCCTTCATGGGTCAGTCATGTCGTGCTGTCTCGTCTGCGTCCGAGTAGAACTGCGTTATGGCCCACAGTTTTCAGTGAAATTCTGGAAGTTGGTATTTTCAACTTGTACCCAAGACAAAAATAAAAAAAATTGGGAAATGTATTGGCACCTATCGTAGGGCCGGCCTAGCAGTCGGTGTGTGCTCGGTCATGAACCATCTTTTCTTAGGTTCAGTTCCTGGTACGATCATCTTGTAGTGCTGTCGTCACAGGCATGTCCTCTGCTTAAAATTCAAGCGTGAATGACTGTTCTTCTCCTGTGATAGTCGGACCGATATTTTGTCAGTTTTTAATGCATAGGCGTTTGCGACCAATATGAATAATAGAGGGTTTTTTTTGGTTTAGATCATGTCAATATATACGTGTTATTAAACTCGCCACCAATCGTCAAAGCCAATTAGTAAGGTTTGTCACGTAAACGTCGTTCTCCGATTGTAAATGTTGTAGGTTTACTCTCCAACACATCGGTGTGCTGTACGAGTAATGAATTGTTTACGTGACAAACCTTAATTGGCTTGTCGGGTAGTGGCAGGTTTAACGACACATTTATATTTACGCGATCTAAACCAAAAAGCCTCTGGATATTTTTTCATCTTATAGCTGCAGCTTAGGAAGATTAAGTATTGAGCCAAATTTAACGCGATGAGTTTTTTTTCGCACGGCCGATTTGTGACTAGGCTGAGACTTGGGAAATCGGTTTTAATCACCAGCTGCTCAAAGCCTCGATTTAAAATCCAGGATCTCAGCGATCCCAGGCCCTGCCCTCGACTTCTGAGCCACTGGGGCCGATCACCTTGAGCTTGTTTTCTGCTCGTCAAGTCGAAATTTGAATCGTGGTTGGATCCGTATATTGAAGGGTGGCAACCCCCCCCCGTCCCGTGTTGCCGTGGCGCAGGCACCGTCTCTGTGGTCACGCTTCCCGTTGGGAGCCTGGGCTCGCCCGGCAAGCACATCCTGCCCAAGACGCTCGCCCCGTCCAACGTGAACGTGCCCCAGCAGATGGTGAGTGTGCGCCGCTCATGTGACTTGTAAGGGCAGTCCTAGGGAATCGTACGGGCCTGCCCGTTGAACACGAGCCCGTCGCTTCATTTCATTGGGTATTTTGGAACTGCTTTTTGTGTTTAGTTTGCTGTCCTTCCCCCACACTTGAGATTAGTAGCACGGTCGGCTACGTACGGTGCGAAAGAAGTTCTACATGCAGTTGGCCCCGCGGTCACACGAGGCCTACCACTAGGAAAAGGCCCCGCAAACATCATTCATCACCGCGAGCATCTTAGGAAATTAAAGAGTGTCGGTGTTTGTCGCCAAAGCGATTAGAGCTGTTGTACAAACAGCTCCTTGTTAGCTGTTGCTTGTCTATTGATTGTGGTTGTTTAGCGAAAGCCAGGTGAGATGCTGTTTGATCAGTGGGCCTCCGTGCTCCGCAAGCAAATGTCCCCAGTGTAATGTGTCTCTTGCAAAAACTCGCCGCGTGCAGCCGTCGTCGTAAAGAGGCCCCGTAAATAGCTGCGTCGTTCAGCCGGTGTTGTTGACGCAGTATGTTTTCTCGCTTTTGGGCTCTGGGCGGCGATAAAAACGATGAACATGAAAAGCTCGGTTTTCCTCCCTTAATTATTGCGTCACAAAAGGGCCCTTGCTCGGCAGGTGGGAATGATCCGCAGCTGCGTTTGCCTGGCAATTTGTAACCTGACGCAGGTGTAGATAGGAGGGTCGATGTCGCAGGCCAGGTTTTTTTGGAAAGAAGCTTGGGAAAATGTTACCCAGCCACCACGGCAGTAATAAGCAGTGCCACGGATGTAACATTTTATCTTTAAAATATTTTTTGCCCTCAGGATAATAATGATGATGACATTTATAACTGGAGGCGCTAAGCCAAGCTCAGGGCTGCTCGAAAGCCTGACCCAACACAGATAGAGAGGCCTTTAGATGTTTCTTGAAATTCGGAGTGCATTTTATGTTGCGGTTGTGCAAAGGTCTTGGGAGAGTTCCACACCGAGGGGGCGATAGTAGAGAACAGACGTGAGGCTGCAACATAAATCCATGCGTGTGGGAAGTGATAATTTCCGATTTGTGTACGTTCACAAATGGGTTGTTTTGTGCTCTGGTTCTCCCACATGCATAAACACCCATCGGTTGGCTCAGAACATCTTTAATATACAGAGGACCGCAGAGAATGGGCAATTATTGGTAGCGCCAGATCCGTGCCTGGCTTGCTGCCTTCCCGCCAGAGGTCGCAAACAGGTTTTGATTCCTTACCCGTACCCGTACCCGGCCGCGCCAGGGTCGCAAACGGGGGTACCCGGCCGGGTACGGGTAGCCGGGTATCGGGTAGGGTACGGGTATCGGGTACCCGATTGCGACCTCTGGGATGAAGCCATGTTGCAGGCGCGGGTGGGTTGATTCTAGGAACTTGAATTGTGAGAAGAGACAAGACATTGGGAAATGAGTGACAAACAGTTACTCACCAGTGTTGACATTGTTATTGGTGTTGTACTTGAACAACTAATGGGAACCCTGCATGTTCAGCATCGTCCACTGTTGCTTCCAATAAAACGGACACACAAACACCACAATTGCAAAAACACAATAATTCGACTCGCAAATTACATTTTGAGGGTTAATTGAAAGCAGACAGTGGGTGACTGTATGAGAAGGCACGTATAGCGATGCGTCAGTGTGTGTATTGAATGGATTATTATGGTTTTGCTCGTGTAAATGGCTTCAAATTGTGAGTCTTAAGAATCTGTTCTTGTCGATTTCTGCTTGGGGTGTGTAATTTGGTCTTGTGACCCCTGCAGGTGCTACAACCACAAAAACGAGCCTGCTACAGCCTCCTATAATCATGGATAATGCGTATGTTGTAAATCATTGGCCCAGATAAATTAGACAACAATTAGGAAACATGAATTCGTTTTTAATTATTAGTGTCTTGTTTAAACTGATTGGTTGTTCCAGTGATGTGATGACACCTGTTTAAAAAAGCAGGTCAGGTGACGTTGTGACTTCCTGAGTCCTGTCCTGAAGGTGCTTGACGCAGTGTCATGCGAAATGCCGCGTATCCGATTGCTAAACTAAGTTAAGAATTTAGATTTAAAGCTTTCGTGACTGATGGTTGCTTGTGTTGCAGTTGAAACGTCGTGAGAATTTTTATTGTTTAATATTATTTTATTATTTCCCTTTTACGTGACTTTACCGAAAGAACCAATAATTAGTTAAGAGTTGTTCATAATACAGGTTTTTTTGGTTAGATCTCGTAAATATGTGTCGTTAAACCCGCCACCACCCAACATAGCCAATTCGTAAGGTTTGTCCCATAAACAGAACATGCCAATTCGTTACTAGTACAGCACACCGGTGTGTTGGAGTGCAAAGCCACAACACTTACAATCTGAGTACGACGTTTCACCAGTATTTACAACTAGCTTCAGGATACAGCCATATTTGTTAATGTTTTATGACACTTTTATATATGTACGCGATCTAACCGTAAACACCGGTATTATGGATGATATTGGTTGCGAAAGCCTACATATTAAACTTGAGAATTGATATAAAAATTAAGGTCTCACGACAGAAACTTGGCCGGATAATTGCATGGCCTAACCCAAAAATGAGTTGTGAATCATCATTTCGGCTGCCACAACCTGTTGTGTAATAAATGAATATTTTTATGAAATCACTGCCCCAAATCGTGACATTTAATTAATTGAATCGCGAGGGAACGATTCATCACAGGCCGAGAGCCCTCCCAAGATCTAATCACATTGTGATATGAGTTTCACTTAATTTTATCGCTATCATTTTCTTATATCTGGTGTTTGTTTCATTTGTTTTTATCACTTTGTCCGTGCTTTATACTACTTTACTTTATGTTACCCTGGTCTCCCTTGCCAGAGAGACCTTTAGTCTGCACCTGTTCCCACCTGGTTTCAAACCGAGGTATCGATCGATTGTTTGTATTGTTTGGCACTGCCGTTGTAAAGTGGCTGCACGCTGCAGTAAGCTTTGGCACTGGTGGTGAATGTGGAATGCGTTTGTCTGCGATGGTTGTCGTTAGCTCGACGCCATCGGCGCCTTGCCCCGGGTGGGCTTTGCGTAAGAACGCCGCAGGTGTTTGTGTTTGCGACAATCTCGCCGAGTTCGCACGAGGCCAACAAATAAATAGTCCGTGTCCGCATCCAGCTGAGTGACAGCCCATAGATTCTTCCCGAGTCCGCCACTCTAGCTCGCACGGAGGCATACCGCTTTCGCAGGAGGCGCGGGAGAACGTCCCGCCGGCAGTGCGAACGCGCGGTGGTGCATGCTGGGCTTCGTGTGAATGTGTTGAAATGTCACCTGCGCACGGTCAATGGAGAGGAATGGACGTGCATGTCAAGTTGCATTGTCGTCATCGTTAGCCGTGATCAATCCGATGCTGGCGGAGGCCGCTCCCCAAGCTGTTGCCGTCTATTATGGTCCTGCGCTGTAGCAAGCCACGTGGCACCAGCTCACGAGATGGTCTGTCTCGTTGCTCCTAGGGGACGTTCTCTTTGGCGGCGTTAGAGTTGATGGCAGGAGTAAATTTGTTCAATAACAAAGGAAAAAAAAGTACTTGACGGTCCTTTATCAAGTGTCTGCTGGGTGAGAATTTCCCACGGCACGTCGGCAATGGGGGTTTGTTTGACCGTATCTCGCCACACCGGTCAGCGCCGGTTGGTCAAGGAAAGGACCAGGATTGATTGGTACAGATATCACGACAGGTTTATGGAAGGCTTGAACGTAAGCGAAAATGCATTGCTGTGAAATGGGATTTTAAGGGTGGCTGATAACCTTCGAGTACACTGCTGTACCAGGTGTCGGTAACATAGCATGACTGGTATGGGCAGTGGTGCAAGAAATACAATGGCGGAGGGGGGGGGCACTATTACATCTTCACCCCCTCGTCGTAGCTGAACGCCTGGGTCCCTACGGCCCGTGGGCCTCGGTGCAGTTGCACCGCCTGCACACTCGACAGCTACCCCGCCGCTCGGCACCACCGAGACCTCGTACTGAACGCCAGGGCACGGACGGAGACTTGCACTTTTTTTTTTGTCGTGTGTGTGGTGATCCCAGTACCTTCACTTCACTGTGAAAATAGAAGCCCGGAGTTATTTCTGCGGATAACAACATTCCCCAGTAGCGTAGCCTCTCCCTCTCCACACCACCTCGGGTGAGTGGTTGTAAATTAACCCGAATGTGGATCCTGATGTCGGAAAGGTTAGTGGAGATGACTTCTCGTTGACTGTTAAGGAAAGTAGAGGCCGGGCTTGGGTAGGTCAACGCGTCACTCGGTGGAGATGACGGTGAATGGGTGAGACTGGTGGTGGAGGGACAGCCAAAGGAAGGGTCACGCCCGCGAGGATGCCCACCGTGGAGACGGAGCGGTGATTAAATAGCTCGTATGCAGGAGCTGGATGGATCGTTACATTACTGGACCATGGCGATTGCTTGGGGGGAGAGTGGGGCAAGGGGATTGATCACGATCGGCGAATATTATGGTTGTAATTGGTGGTTCCCGTTGATTTTTCCGCCCATCTTTAACGGAGTGTCACGAGTACAGTGTGGGCCCTGTTTTGGTGTTAATCCGCTTTTCCTGCTGTTCCCAGTGTTTGAATGGCCCGTGTTGCATAGCGACGGTAACCACGCTGCAGGTTGTGAGGGAGTCGGTGTTGGTGTGCTGCGCCGCGTGTGCGTGGGTTTGTTTGCACACGAGCTTACATGCGTGCACGTCGCACGTTCGCTCTATACAAAGAATGCGATGAAACTTAAGACGTCCACTTTGGCAAAAATGAAGAGGCCTACTTTGCTGTAGAGGCCCTTTTCATTGGCTCCTTAATGATGCTCGCATTTTGTGGTTTGGGCCAGCCAACGCGTGGCTTTGAGCGGCACGAAAAACCCATCTCGTGATTGCCACGGATAAACTATGGAAAGGCAGAAGTGTTGGCCGAGCCAAAGCAATCGTGGTAGTTAAAACATTGTGGGGG